TAGATAGATAGATAGATAGATAGATAGATAGATAGATAGATAGATAGATAGATAGGCACACAAAACAAAAAAAAACACGCACTGTTTGCTTGCGTGTGCATGAGTGTGAGAGTGACATTAGGGAAATAGAAAGAGAGAAAGAGAGGAAGAGAAAGAGAGGGAGAGAGAGAGAGAGAGAGAGAGAGAGAGAGAGAGAGAGAGAGAGAGAGATCTAGGACTAGGCACTAGGCTTTTGTAATGCAAAGGTGATAGTAAACTCTTTGATTTGGTCGCAAGCGTCGTTGAATCGTTTCCAAAGTGGTGAGGCTATCTTACCTCATGTCGCCGTCTTTCTGCTAGGGTGTACCAAGGCCCACTATGTTATCCCATACACGACCTGTGTTGTCCAGGCTGCCTTTAGCGAAAAAGTCTGACTAACTGAATTGTGTTGATGGGGACATGAAACATTTACCATTATTCAATAACCAACTACAACTAAATAATGAATATGTTATTTTTATGGCAGGTCCCATACAGGAATAAACTCCTTGGACTTGGTGGAGTCCTTTTTTGTTGAGGTTGTTTTTTTTTGCTTTTTGTGTTGTTGGTCAAGGGCAATTGCTTCATTACATCATCATCATCATCATCATCATCATCATCATCATCATCATCATCATCATCATCATCATCATTCGCCTCTTTCACCCTGGTACAGGGTAAAGGCGGCTAATGAAAGCTCTCCACCTGACTCTGGGCGATCTTCTCCATCTTCAGCCAATCGTGTACATGCATGAGATCTGCCTCTTGATCTCACTCCCAGGTGAATCTCGGCCTTCCTCTCTTTCTGTTCCCCAAGGCTTTCCGTCTGAGTCTTTATCCTGTCACGTTGCGGGGTGCTAGCTAAGGTTAAACTACATGTATATAGGTGTATTTGACAGGTAGACACAAATGTAAATTGGACAGAAGACACAATGAGTTTGGTGAAAAGATGACACTTCTACGCAGCTGAGGTCTATTTTGGCTATTACAAGGCCTAGAGTGCCCATTTTTGTTGTGGGACATCGTGTGTTATTGGGAATTTGAAATCGATAGTTCAAAAAGTCTATTGTGAATCGGTTGCTATGGAAACGGCGGCCATATTGGATTTTGTATACCTTTTTCAATCCCATTTTATTCCCTTATTTATTAACTGATTCACTTCTAATTTGGCAAGCCTACAGTAAGTATGTAGCTCTTAAATTGGCCTGTTGAATTTTTTAAATTTGCGTTAGTTTTTATTTTATGACACTTAAAATTGGGTTGCTGCAAAAAAAGTGAAAAAAGGGGAAAATTAATGCTTTCTAAGCCCATAAATTTTAAAAACTGCTACATTGATTTTAAAAAATTCAACATGCCAACGTTTAGAACTAGGTGTTTATGGGTATTCTGTGAAAGTTACATTGAAATTGAACAAGAAACAGAGTTTAAAAAATGGGGCAATGTGTGAAAAAATAGAATTGTGAAAAAACAGTCGATAAAAGTAAGAAAAGGTCGCAAAACATGTACTTTCGCAAAAAAACATGAACAAGAACAGTTCAAATTAAAGTATAGCAAAAGCTTGATAAAATTAACACAACACATAAATAGAAAACAAACAACAACAATTTGACACCAAAACACGATTTCTAGGCGCCTAAGTTTTTTTCTGTATCTGTTTTGTTTTGCTTTGTTTTTTAATATACGTGTACATGTATGTACAGTATCCTCATGGCATTCTTGGGACCTAATCAAGTGGTTTCACAAGGAAGAACAACCAAAAGGCACATAATAGTTTTATTGTTTGTGGAAAAGCATACATTGATTCCAAATAAACCTGGACAGGAATCCAACGATTTTGGGGATTTCCTCCCCTCTAAAAGCATTGCACACACACACACACACACACACACACACACACACACACACACACACACACACACACACACACACACACACACACACACACACACACACACACACACACACACATAAAGAAACACACATACAAACGAACAGCATACAATAATATAAGTGGAGTTCTGATCAATGTAATAAATCTTGATACAAGTACATGTAGTTTAATAAATAATAAGTTCTCAATTTAGTTTACACGTATCCGACAATTCCTCGGCGGAAGCAAAAACATTGAAAGAGAAAAACAAATACACGTACATGTACATTGAGCAGGACTAAGAGTTTAAATAAGTTGGGTTTATTAAAGGGGGGAGCAAGAGGTGGGGGAGGGGGGGGACAAGAGCAAGAGAAAGCGGGAATCGCGCTTGATAACGGTAAGAACTGAAGCACCTGCTGAAAAAAAATGAAGAAGCAGCAGAGACATCAGCTTATAACAATCTTATTTCAATCGAATTTCCGTGTTTTTCTTTAGCGGTCCTTACAATGGCAATACATTCTCAACTGGTCATTGTGCTGTACGCAGTCAGACTGACCCCTGTACACGTTAATACGGCTTATAAGCCCCTCTGTTCTTAGAGTAATTCTTCTGAAAGGAAAATGACGGGCTGAATAACTGACCGTGGCTTCAAACTTGGCGTCACCAGGTTCTGTCGTAATCATGACACGGTAGAAGCCTTGTTTTCCACCTACCCGACCTTTGAGCAGAATTAGGTTGTCAACTGTTTTCAACTTCATGATATCACAGGAGTCCCGGCGTTGTTTTGTGAGGGAGTTGATGTCTACAACTACGACTCTCCCCACTCGTCTCATTGTAGTGACATCTGCAATGGATATGCCACCGTAACATAAGCAATGATGAACCAGTATCCCGGCATCTTCGCACTGTCGAGACGCAGGGATCTCCGAGAAGAGACTTATCCCACGAGACACTTTACTGACGTTGATTTTTTCTTGGAAGCGACTGTCGGCGATATCTTGCAGGGTTTGGTAGATATCGAAATTTGTCGTCAGTCTGTTCATGTTCGTAACAAGATTGTTATACAGATTTATATGCGCATTCCGAAATCGTGGTGGTATATAAATGACCATATTTGGTGCACGTTCTTCAATACTTCCATCAAAAGTCTTCCTGTACTCTGTAGATCTGGCACCGTGGTCACCGAAGAATATAAGAAATGTGTCTTCCAAACCAGACTGTTCAAATACACCTTTTAAAAAGTTCTCATAATGTTCATCAACAGATGTCGCCTTGTTAGCATTATCATGAGTTGGACGACTGAACATTGAAAAGGAGAAAAAATGTTCCGACTTTGATCTGGCGTCTAATATAAACTCTTTGATAAAATTCAGCCACAGATTCACTTCCACTTGATCTCCAAAGCACTCATTGTTAAAAGCAAGCGCATCCATTTTGGGCATCAAGGCATAGGCCATTGGCAAGTTATAGCTGTCAGTCGGCGGCTGTTTAAAATTGTCAAAATCGAACCGATCTGAAGCATACTGAGTTCTGTATCCATTCGACTTGAATTTCTCCCAAATAAATGAGACCGTGTTGTAATTAATCCCTTTATCCCAATTTGGTATTTCTGTCCTACTCTTCCCAGTGAGCATTGCTATACGGTTTGGTATAGTCGCATCACCAACGACAGTATGCATTTTCATTTCGAATGCACCCAAATTCGAAACCAAAAATTTTCGTGTTTTAGGCATCGCGCGTTTGAACATATGACTAGAAACAGAGTCCATACCCACCATCAAAACATTCATTTGTCTCTTTTTTGTTTTATAATGCAGTTTCATTTCCCCCTGTTCATTTCGTTGTCCAGCTGTGTTGCGAACGATATAATGGTGTGCTTTTGATATTAGGTTCCTACTGCTGTTGTAACATTCGACTTCTACAAAATCAGGTCTTCCGTTTACAGTAAGAGAAGAAGAGAAAGGCCCAGTCCGCAGTCCTGGTACATAGCCCAATTCTTTATGATACTTCAGAGACCGGAACCAACACTGAAGTTCCATGTTTTGAAAGTGAAGGCGTTTTAGAGTTTCGTTGATATTCACTGAGAAACCGTCGTAGTATGTTATCCATGGTTTATCCGAAGGACAAGTAATTGTTGGGAAAACCTCTATGTATTTCATCGCTGTTGGGCTGAAATTAAAAAGGAAAAAAAAATTAAAAAACTGAATGAAAACGTCCAAGTAAAACAATACATTTTGAGATTCGCCGATTGTGCACCAAGTAGTCTATAGATTTAATAAGGGATTTACGGCACTTACAACACAAAGAAGTCATATAATATCAGAAGATAAGAGGTGTTACAATGTTTTAAAAATCGAAAACAACTCCTGGAGAAATGTCTTACCGATGTAGTTCTATGTGCCACATAACATGGTCCTCACCTTGCTCCCACTCAACCATTTTCAACACAAGGACAAAAGAACACAGAATCTTAATCCCCATACCCCCCCTTCTCCC